TATGTGGTGCTGAGGATCGAAGCCAGAGCCTCATACATGCTAGGCGAGTGCCAGAGCCTCACACATGCCAGGCGAGCACTCTACTGCTGAGCCACAACTCCAGCCTTTAACAATTTACCTTTAAAATTTAAGATAATGCATTTTTATACATTAGAATACAATGGAAGTATATACACTGATACATTTTTAAAAACAAAAATAGATCCTCAATTATTTATGTGGATTTTAATAAATCTATGAAATCCTGGGCCATGTATACCTAATTATATCTTTCCCTCATATATAAGCTATGTTTTATGTATTAAAATATATATAGAAATATAAAAACTATAAAATGCTTGTGTACATTTTACCTAAAATCATCTCACTTAGCCCCAGGTGTAGCTATGCCGTACTTGGACAACATGGAACTAGCTGATCCCTAGGTGTCTTCTTAGCTCCTGTGTTTGGTGTTTCCATGATTCTAAATCATCAGAAGCACAAAATCTGTTCCCCAGAGTTTAAAGTCTGAGAGTCAAAGCTGCTGTGGACAAATAGATGTACATATAAATGTACGTATATGTATGTATATTTGTATATATACATAATATATTTATATGCAATACACAATATATACAATGTGTATATACAATACACATATAGGTATATACAATAAACATATGTATATATGTATAAGTACACATATATAAACAAAAGTAGATACTAACCATATACAGCTTTTAAGTGTGTATAATTAGAGTTACTGGAGCTTGAAGTTTAATTAGATTTATTATGGCAAAAAACATCAGGTTTCTTTATTCCTGGAAACATATGAGGGATTTCAGATACGATCTTTTCTTAAAAAATAAATATTTAAAAAATTTTGTTTGGGATTATGGAAAGTAGATTTGTTCTAAACAGTCTGGGAAAAACTCTTAGAAAAGAAAAGATTTTAGAGATTACACACTGTTTTCCCTTTATTACCACCAGTGGGAAGTCCTTTGAGCTCTTTCTACTTAAAATATGGATAGTGGACTTAAAATATGGAAGGACAGGCCTGGCTCTAATGGCAATTCTGATGAGTTGAAATCTTCATGTTTTCTGGTCCTAGGTGATTTATATGCATATTAAAGTTGGAGAAGCATTGGAAGCTGAACTTGGCCATGGCTTGTCTAAAACTAATCCTTCAGAGACCTCTCCCAGGGCACAGAGGTTCCTGATAGATTAAAAGCATTAGATTCTCATGTGTTTCCCTTCTACCGTCTTTGAAGGATACCACATTGCAGATAAAACTTAGGAAGTAAAATTTATTTTATTTAGAGGAAAAGAATAAATGTCGATTTAGATCCAAATCAAAACCCAAAACCATAATTTGTGGTCCTTCAGCTAAATAGAAGTTCTGAGGCTCAGAATAAGATAAAAATACACAGCACTAATTTTCTTGCTTCTTCCCACCAAATCTCAGTACTATCTTAAGTCCCAATGCTTGCCAACCTAGAAATATACCTGTCCCACGTAGTAAAATTGCAAGACTCTGAGTAAAAAGGGAAGTGCAAAAATCTACATAAAGTAACAACAGTGTGGGTGAATTTATTCACATGAAAAACAGTCCACTTTTATATTTCTATACGGAAATATTTTCCCTGGAAAGCATTGTCCAAAGGATTCTCTTGTAGACCTCCTTCCCTCCCTCCCTCTCTCCCTCCCTTCCTTTCTTCTGTCAATATTCAACAAACACATATTGAATGAATGAATGAATGAATGAATGGAATCATTTTCCCTCATGGGGAAAGCCTTCTCCCCCTTCAGTCCTTGTGGAAACTCTGGATTCTTGGCAAGGGCTATGTGAGTTCCCATTTTCTGTCATTCTAACAACCAAATAAAATCCAAAGCATTTAAAAAATGTTTCCAATGACTAAGTAGAAGTTGGTTATTAAGAAGACCCAAATGAAATGAACCAATCAGAACACAAACTCACAGACAGACAAAAGAGCCAGTGACTCCTCCTAAACATGGAGAATGTAAAAGAAAATTGCTATATCTTTAGTTATTCTTTTCTTAGTCCCAGGTTTCCATTCTGATCTGAAAACATTCCAGACTCCAGTGTGGCCAGCATTTCATTTCCGTGTCATATTTCATCAGCAGATTCAAAAACTTTTTTTCCAACTATCCTTTCAGCATTGGCTGTCAAGGGTGATGAAACGTTATTGTTGGAACATTATTTCATGTAATTATATATAATAAAGCACTTTGACAAATCTATATGAATAAGAGTAACATCATTTCTTTGAATGTAAAGGTCCCTCAGCATATGCATTTTGACAAGCACATTTCAAGCCCTAAATTAATGTGTTTTAGTTTTCTCCAGATACTTTCTAGCAAAGAGGAAGAATGGAAAGGAGCAGCCATACTTTCCATTCTGTGTCCCTATTCTGTGCTAGGAATATGCTATGTGCTTGCTAAGAATTAAAGGCAGATAAGACTGTTAAAATATATTAGAGATAAGTCTTCTGCATGTGTTTAGGACTCCAAGAGCAAGTAAGAGCTCTAAGGACATCCAAGAGCCCTGTACAGTGGAATCTAATGACTGAACCTCATTTCCAGAGATTTTGAATCAATTGGTTGAAGTGGGGCTGAAACAACAGGGTTTTTGAAAAGCTGCCTCAGTGATCTGTCCATGGGCCAAAGTTAAGAACTTCTGCTTTGAAACATATATTTATAGGAAGTATTGTATTAGAATCATTCATATGTAAGTGAGAGGTGTGAAGTTATCAAGAGCTCAGTGTAATAACAGATTACATCTTTTCTGATGTTTCTTGAGAACATGGACCTTATATTTTCAGAACCTGTCTGAGTGTGCAATCAATAAACATGTGCCGAAGACCTCAGTAATGACAATAGGAAGCTTCTCAAAGTCGTACCCACATTGCCTGGCCCATCTCAAACACTTAACCCATATTTATTTAATGGAGAAAAAGCTTCAAATAATGAATGAAGGAATGATGAGGTGGTGCCATGGTACCACATTACTTCCTAGAAACAAGGAAGGCATAGAATCCCCACCAGCTCCACTGTTCCTGTTGCCATGGTTACAGTGAGTCATTTACTAGCCTTTCCCTCAGCAGTAAATGACCAGCATGAGGTCTTTGCCACACCTAAGAGCCCTGAGTCCACCTCCATGGGCATCCCTGCTTCCTGGGTTCCTCATTGCCAGGGTCATGTAACTGGGGGATCAGCAGGGAGTGCCTCCAGTGGGGGAATCAGATATGACATCCACATTATGGGAAAAGAAAGGGTTCCATGGACTTAAGCAGGGTTCCAGGGACTGAATTCTACTATGCAAGTAACATTCCTTTCTTTTCTTAGAGTCAGACAATTGCTCTTTAAAAATTCTACCCTCTTTGATACTATAGTGGGACTGAACTCTAGGCATTGAATGAAATTCTTATCATGGAGGAATATTATACATATGTGCATGTGTCTGTAAATCTAAGTCATATTTAAATGTTGCATTCTGTGGAAGAGTTCCTTTAAACAATTTGTGATGCCAGAATCTATGTAGCATATCTCGAGGTGGTGGCACATGCAATAAAGGGTATATATTACATCATGTTCTTATCACAGTAATATCCCACTAAATATCATCTTTTATTGGAGATTTGGATATATTAGAAATGGAGTTGTTTCATAAAGCCTGGAATACTACAAAACACATGTTCTGACTTGGTTAGTCTCTGATGGATGATAATCTCTTCCTCCATTATCAGCATGATAAAGAAATCTAAACTATCTGACTTGACTCTAGGTTCCTGTGGGTAAGACTCTCTGCAGGATATTCTAGGAGGTTGCCCCCTGCTGTAGCCCCAATCATTGTGAATGTAATTAGAGCTTCCAGGTGTCTCACCTGGAAGGAGTCTAAAGTCAAATGGAATTGTTCACTATTTCTTAAGGGATTATGCAAAGAGCAAACTCAGTACATACAAGGGACCCACCAAATTTGGGGTCCTGGGATACCCACAGATCTGTTTTACAATACCACTTGGATATCAGACACTGGCAGGAAGAGGTTTCACTTCTGTATAATGGCATATTTGGAGGAGAAGGATTTTATAAATGAATTAACCCCCTCCTCACTTGGTACATCTCTCACTAATGCTCTTTACCTTGTGATCTTAATTATATTTTGAAAGTGCACCTGATTTCCAAAATGGGGAGATAGGTAATAGAGATACACCTTATTTCTTTGCTCCTTCCTTTTGTAATTTTGCAATAGCCTTTCTCTTACTGGTTCAGCATCCCCAAAACATTCAACCATTTGCCACGCATGGTGGCACAAACCTGTAATTCCAGATACTCAGGAGGCTGAGGCAGGAGGATCTCAAACTTGAGCCCATCCTGGGCAACTTAGTGAGTGAGACACTGTCTCAAAATTAAAATTTTTTTAGAACGACTGGGGGTATAGCTCAGTGACAGAGTTCTTAACTAGCATGCACAAGGCCCTGGATTCAATCACTGACAAAATAAAATAACAACAATAACAAAAAAACTTTCAATCTTTTATTTACCAAACCAGTTTTCTCTTCCTATTATTATTCAACAGCTAGAGAATAAATTTTTAACGTTTTGTTTTGTTTTGTTTTTGTTGTTGTTTGGTGGTTGTTGTTGTTGTTTTTGCTTCTGGAAATTGAACCCAGGGTCTTTTGCCTGCAAGGCAAGCACTCTGCCAACTGAGCTATATCCCCAGCCCCTAGAGAATAAATTTTTAAAAATTTTTTTAATTGTAAATGGACATAATATCTTTATTTTATTTATTTATTTTTCATGTGGTGCTGAGGATTGAACCCAGTGCCTCCCATGTGCTAGGCAAGTGTTCTACCACTGAGCTATAACTGCAGCCTTAGAGAATAATTTGGATGAAGAAAGTTATGTGAGGTGCTAACTACTTTGCCTTCATGTTCCTGAAATAAAACTTTCCTGGGACTTTGTTTATAAAAGATTAATACATCATCTGTAGTTTGGTGTATTTTTTCTTTCACTTTCCACAATATCTCAGTTTATTTACTGAAAGAAGAAAATTGCTATCACTTAGGGGAAAATGTTGGAGAATTAGAGCTGGACATGGAGGAAGGTAAGAGTTTGCTAGGGCTGCTGTAACAAAGTAACATGAACTGGTGGCTTCAACAACAGAAATGTGTTCTCTCGCTGTTCTGGAGGTGAGAAGTCCAAGAGCAAGATGCTGACAAGGTTGGTTCCTCCTCAGTCCTCTGAGGAAGAGCCTGTTCCTTGCTTCTCCCCTGGCTTCTGGTGGTAGGGTGGCAGTCTTTGGTATTCCTTGGCTTGTAGAAGCTTCACCCTGATCCTTTCTCTTAGCATGACATTCTTCTGCGTGTGTGCTGTTTCCAAATTTCCTTTTTCTACATGAACAAGAGTGATTTTGAATTGCAACCCACCCTAAAGACCTTATTTCAACTTGTTTACCTCTGTAAAGACCCTACTCCTCCTCCCCCACCAAAAGATTACATTCTGAGGTTCTGAGGGTTAGGACTTCAAATTTTGGGGAAACATGACTTTTTTTTTTTTTTTCTGTGAAGTCCATGCTGACTGAGCTATGTCTTGCTTTCTCAACAGCTGGATGGACTAGACAATCTTCAGTTCCTCCCAGATTCATTCTGCCCTTCCCCCTCCCCCAACCCCATGGTGCTGGGGGTTGAATCCAGATCGTTGCATGTATTAGGTGAGAACTGCACCACTAAGCTACCTCCCCAGCCCTCCTTCTGCCTTTTGACCACATGACATTGGTGTTACTTGGTCTCATTATTCAACAAAGGAAATAGCCATTGCTGAAGAATGAAAAGAGTGACTCGGCTTCACAGCACGTGCCCACCATTCCTATGGGAAAACTCAGCTCCCTAACACTCTGTCTCTCTGTGTCTTTGTTCCCATCTCTCCTCATCCTTCCCCACTCTCTAGTCCCCAGGCTTTCTCCCAAGCTGTCACTCCCTCTGACATGTTCTCCTGACCCGCCTTAGAAGTCGCTCAGCTCACCTGATACTTTGCAGAAAGCCAAAGAAGCCGTTGGTCTAGGTCTTTTTCTCTGACAGTGGGCTGAGGAGCCCCTGCTGCGAGTTCTTTGTCCCTCTCAGCAGCCTCCCCTAAGGAAGACGACCTCTGACCAAGGGAGGGAATTGTAGGCTGGTCAAGAGTGAAGAGGTCAATGGGGCAAGCTGGAAATGCCTCACCTGCAGAGTGGGGGGATGTGGAAATGGGGAGGAAAATAAGTGACAGAGTCAATGTAGCCATCCAGAAAACTGCTTAAAGTTCTGGTTTTTCTCAGACCCACTCCCATGTTTCTGGTTGGCTTCCTGGCTACAGAGAACACACCCATTTCTCAGGCTGGGAGGAACAAAGCTGCGGAGCTGAGTGGTGGTGTAGGTGGTTCTTTTGATGATGTGTCCTTTTGATGTGTGTGTGTTTCAAATCTCTAGTGTTTTTCTCACAACTAAACTGTTTACAATCATGTGTTCTCCTGATGCTCTGATATCAACAAAGATAAAAGGTAATTTCGCCTCAGGGAAACTTTATAAGCTAACTAACTTAATAGAGATTGGTGGAAGTTTACCAAAAGCCCCACTCAAAATATCTCAATGACTTCCCCAAAGCATCATTATAAGGGAAATCAGAGAAACTAAGACAAGATCTAAGTGGGAAATCATGTGGGTTTTTTTTTTGTTTGAGGAGGTTCTGGTGAAGGGTACAACCTAATGGGTGTAGCCTAAGGGCATCTATTTTGGAGTAAAAGCATCTCTTACTAACTATGTGATATGGCTTCTCTGAACCCCAACAATTTCCCAATTCATCACAGAGGGAAAACAATTCCTGCTCAGAGTGGATATTAAATAAGATGTTTTTGACCCTGCAGGTCATTTGGAGGCAAGTTGTCCTGCCTATTTCATTAGACATATCTCAATATCGTCCTGATACTAAGACAAGAAAGGAACAGGCAGCAAAGAGACAACCAAGCTGACGAAAGGAAACCACTGTAGTGGGAGCATCTGTCTTCGGGCAAGACTTCCCTGTGAGGTGCCTCTTACGTGGCAGCACTGGACTGGCCAAAGCGAGTCAGGATATCATGCATGCTCTCCACCCAAGGATGTCCTGCCCTTCTGCTCTCCAATCCAGGCCCACTCTCTCCTGTGTGTGTTTCTGTGCACACAACACATCCAGCTGCACACACCTCTTCACAACATGATAAGGAGTCTTTACTGTTTTTGTGGCATGGGAGTTGAGAAACAAAGGAAACTTTCTATGATGACCACAGCTTTCTCTGATGACCATTTCTCTCCTATGATGTCCTCTTCTTGTGGCTGCTATAACCATTCCAGCTATTTTCTCATCCCTTCAAATGAATGGAGGGCAAGACACAAGTATTTTCTCTTACATGCACTGAAGTTCTACAATGCTGAGCAGATAATAGATGTTCAAAAAATACTTTTTTCTTTTTTAAAAGTTTATTTATTTTTGTTTGTTCTTTTTAGATTAAAAGAAACACTTTATTAACTAGATTTCTACTCTGGCTCTGCTAGCCTAAATTGTATTAGATCAACTCTCTGTTGACAACAACTAGAACAGTTGGGTTAAAGAAGATCTATGTGTTTGAAGTCATTGAGATCCCCAAAGGGCAACCCTGCAGGAATAAGGAAGAACCAGAAACAGTTCTGTCCTCAGGAAGACGGAAACCCAACTTCAGAGAAGCTCAGTCCAAGGTTGGATTACTGCAAATAGCCCAAGTCAAACTGCCCTTGGAAGCAAAAGTCAACCAACTCTAGAGGGAGAGAGCATCCAGAACATTATATAATATTTCATATCATTATTCAGTGGTATTTACATGTGTCTCCCACCCTAACCCTCAAATTCTCCTGTGAGACATGGAAAAGGCACAGATGATCAGAAAACTTGGCCTCTAGGTTTGTTTCCTGACTTACAGAGCTAGTTTCCCCAGCTTTGAGATTCTCGGTTTCTGGGTGTGGCTCTAGACTCCGCCTCACCCCAGCTGTGCTGTCTGCTGGTTTGAATCACTTCCTGGTCACCTGTTGGTGAGGAAGGGATTCCTGCTCTATGGTCATGGGTACGATTGAAGCAAGGACATACAGCACTGGGCATATGCACACATGGTCACTCTGCGTCCTTGGCCATTGGCTGGCATTCATGGTGGCAGCAGCAGCAGTACCCAAGCCAGGGTTCTGTGGACTTTCCCCTTCTTTCAAGGATTCTCATAGAGCCTGGAGCCAGAGGGGCCCTTGTTTTGCTCTTTTGCACTGGTTTTGATTCTTCCTGTCATGGCTCCTTTGAGAGGGCTCCTATAAACAACCAGAGAAAGAGCTAAGACCTGCCAGGGATGAAAATTAAAGTGCTTCTTCCACCCTGTTCCCAAATGTCTCCTCAGAGACACTGAGGAAGATTTCCAGGCAGGACCTGTCTTACCATCTTTCTTTTAAAGATGGTCAGTGTCAACAGAGAGTTATGGAGAGTGGACAGGGGGACAAGTTAGAGAGACCATGAATGAATCATGATATTCCCCTACAGTTCTTACTCCTAGCACAAGGTAAAAATTTGCTATGTACATTTTGGCCAGATTTTCCTCAGTCCCAAATGCAGCCCATATTTTAATGTCAGAATTGGAGAGGGGGACACGAGCAAGAATAATAATGAGAATGACAAAAATGCAAAAGAAGGACGGCAGCGGTTTCTTCCTCATCGCACAGGTCGCACAGGGAAAGGAGAGGGAACAGACCCATCTCTCAGGCAAGTTCAAAGACACTGGGCTGCCAGCATCCTGTCCCCTCCCCCAACCAGTGCCTTCTCCACACTCACCCTCAGGCAGAGGGAAGCAGTGGCAGGGGATTGCCACTTGGTTCCTATTATAATCTCTCCCCTCCCTCCCTCTCTTGCCTTCCTCTTCAGCCCGGTGTCTCCCAGGCAGAAAGTAGGGCTTTGCAGGCACCAAGTGGGGCGAGGAAGAGGTGGCTGGAGGCATTTCCTTTGGCTTGTCCCTGGTTGCCCGTTATAGAGGCAGGTCTGACTCATAGGATGGAAGTTGTCAGTGTCACCTGAAAACCGTCAGGTCACTAAAAGCTAGGTTTACCATGAGCTACGATGACATGGTGGCCCGCTTGGCTGCAGTTGCCCACTAAACAGACTCTTTTCCAATCTTCCCTCCTGCTGTCAAGGGCTGAGCTACCCTGCATGCTCGTCCTCCGGCAGGTGAAACATGCAGGAGCAGGCACAAGCGGAGTGCAGCCCTGCTCTGTCTCTGGTCACTTCCATTCCTCCTGGGGGCTCTCTACCCACCCCACACCACCCCACTGGCCTCATTCTCTGAGGGCTGGGTATTTTCAGAAGGTCCCAGAGCCTTCTTGGATCAAGCCTGCCCCGTGTAAGGTGCAACACTTCTTCACTTTGTGGCACCAAGTGAGCCAGGACATAGTGAAGCAGAGAATCCCACCCAGGCTGCGCGCAGAGTGACATGCAGTCAAGGCCACCAACCTCTTTACACTGCTGCTGTCACTAGTTTGCTCCCGGATCTGAACAATAATGGCCCTAGAGGAGACAATTTTTATGATAGTTGAGAGAGCTCTTATTTCCCTTTTGTTTAGAAATGGTTTTAATTAATGAGAACAGCCTGTGGTCAGACGAATACGCCCAAGCTCAGGCCTGGGAGCCTTTTGGTTCAGCAGGAGGAGGACACAGGTATATTTTTCCTAATCATTTTGCTATTCATTTACGTCATTTGCTAGGTCCTTCCATCAGGAGCTTCCACCACCTGCAGGTCCAGCAATCTCCTTGGGCCTATGGCGGGGGCCATCTGGCCAGAAGAAGTCAAACACCACCCCTGCTGGGGTGGGAAGAGCTGAAGGTTATGGCTCTGTGATTAGGCTGTTTCTAGAAAAATATCTCCCCTCAGACAAACTTCTGTGCATTGTTAGGCTTTTGGGGTAGAAAGACTGTTGAGAAGGTAGAGTTCAAAATACTGCCTTTGAGATATGGCACTTATAATAATAAAAAAGTGTATAGAAACAGCATTCTATACTGGAAGAAACAATTCTTTTCTTTCCTTACTCCCTCTATTGTCTTAAAATCATTTTCCCCCTTTTGAAGGAGAGGTAATCAGGAAACCCCACAGAGTAGACGTGTGAGCTGAAGAGTGAAATGCAACCCATGAAACTGTTGTAGGACTCCCCAGTGGGAATGGAATATGGCAGTGTGGGCCCTGGAGTCACACAAGGGAGGTCAACTTCTGCCTCTGGTCCTTGCTGGCTGTGGGGTTTTGAATAAGTGACTTGACCTCTCCGTGTCATAGTTTCCTCTCTATAAAAGTGAAGAAGCAGAAGCTCCTGCCCTGCAGGCTCACTGTGAGGACTAAGTAAGATAAACCCCAGGAAGCGCCTGGCACAGTTCCTGGTGTGTGTGAAGTGCTCAGTAAACCTTAGTTTGTAGGACATTTTAGAACATTGGTTTTTGTCCTCCAGTGATGGGAATCTTTTCATTTTGCCCAGCAGTTATAAAAATAGAGAGAGAGAGAAAAGAGAGAGAGAGAGAGAGATGAGGAGGGAAGAGAAGAAGAAAAATTGGGGGTGGAAGAGTGAAGGGAAGGAGAGAAATGGGAGGTGAATCCCGAGTGAATGGGGCCGTCACTCACATGCCTCCAAGCCTCTGTGTGCCAAGGGCCAAAGAAATGAATTCTATATTCTCAAGTGATACATTTCCCAGGGCGTCACAGGAACCAAAGTGAGAACATCTGCAGGGTTTCTGAGAAAGACTGACCCTGTGGAGGAAACACACCCCAAAGGTTCACATGTCAACCCAGGAAATGAATGCACTGTCACCAGCTGGCGAGATGTGCCTGGCGAGGTAATCAGTCCATTCTCACAATGTCTGTGGTTATGTGTGCCCTGTGTGTTGTTATATGCTATGCAGACCTTTCCATTGACTGCAGAGATGATTTTCTCAGTACATCAATATTCCCAGAATGCTGGGGAAATGGACAAGGAGTGCTGTCATTCAATTATATTCCATGCCATTGATTACTGGCATGCTTTGGTGGGGGTGCCACCAAGGGATAAAGAGGAGTTTCTGGGTAGACAAACAGGGAAGAGATGAACATACTACCTAGGGGAAGAATATCTCTAAATATCCACATATGAGGAGCAGCATGGTTAGTACAGAATGCACCGGCCATCGGGCATCACCTGAGCACAGAGCTAGGTCTCTGTCAACACATGTGTGTCTTGCCTTGAT